GCTCGGCTCGCACAGCTGCGAAAGATACTGTAGTCTTCCCAGTACGTTGGGCCTGACCGTCATTAACCCAGTCTTCCACGTAAAGTATTCATCTTAATATTTAAAAAAAATAAATAAATAATAAGCAAATCAAAATCATAAAAATTATTAATCTAAAAATAATAATTTAAAAAATGTTGCAAATAACATAATAAGATATATAAAAAATAAGTATTAGTTAAAAATAATAGAATTAGTATATATTAAAATTAATACAAGTTGTAAAACCTAAATCTTTATATTGAACAAAGTGATTTAATGTTAATGTTATTTATAAATGTTAGAAATTCTGTTGCAAGTGTAACCTCAATTATAACATGCAAAGTGTGCAGTAGAATAAGATGAGCACTATTAGAGATAACTGCAAAAGGTCAACAATCCATATTGGATTAAAATAAGTAGCTGCGCAACGTTGTCGCGCGAAACCAGGAACGGGAGAAATCTACACAGACACCATTTCAGTCACGGGAAACCATATTCTTCATTGCAATCTATTCCTGGTATAAGAAAATGACTCTTTATAAAAGAAGTTGATAGTACTTGCAATCTGAATATTGGTTTGAATTTCAGTGACTGAGCCTTAAAACCTATTAATGAAGTTAATGTCTGACTGCTATATATTTGGTTAGCTAGCATCACTTAGTTCCGTTGAATCTGACTCAAAATTCTGGGGCCCTGCAAAAAGCGTTAAAAAATCTACGAAACATATTTGTATTTAGAAATGATCGACAAATTATTTCGATCAAGTCCTTGACGATCAGTGATTATCATTTTATCTGCCCGATAAAAAATTCGATGAAAAAAAATGAAAATTACCAAAAATTTAGTATTGAGGCCTTTAAATTTGTATTGGGACACTAATTTTTGTGCCTAAAAAACTTATTTTACTATCGTTTGTTATAGCATCTTCGATTTTACAAATGTATGCGCTCATTTATATTTTTTTAAAAAATATTGAATGATGAATAAGTCATGCGGACCAATCAATTCCAAGATTTTGCGTACAGAGGCATTGTTCCTGGTACCTACCTTTTAAAGTATTGTTCGGGGTGGTACACAAAGTCACGATGACAGATTACCCAATCATATGCTGAGAATCGCACAGACACATTAACTTGCCTGTAAACCATACACTACGTTGTACGTTGTACAAACTCCGTTCCTGGTATAGTATTTTGACGGGCAATATCGAATTCATAATTAACCACGTAAAAAGTAAAAAATACATTCGAAAATATTTTGAAAAAAATTAAGCGAAATAAACTTATTAATTTTCTACCTATTAATATAATTAGATTAATATGACCGAATACTGTTCTGAAAAAAGAAGTATTCAACACAATTATTTATACAATTGCTTATAAATTATTTATTTAAGCAATACGTAAACAATATTTTTATTTCTACCATTTTATGTTTTTCACACGCTTCAATTCCTTTATAACATTTATGATTTTTTAAATATAAAGCTTGATAACTTTCCAAGAATATAGTATAATATATATGTCAATAACTTTTACGTTAATAAAGTACGATTAATAATTTATAATTATATTATGCCATGAAAGGCTAGATTCTTTAGTATCGAACTAACTAATCTATTTATATATAATATTAGGACATAGATAAATTTATTTATTTCAATTAGTGTTAATGTACGAATTATCTCCCGTTTGGTTGTTCAGCTTTTATGTAATAATAATATCCTGGCTTATCGGGGATTAGTGGATTTTTTCCTAGGTTGTGTTAACGATAAGCCGTACTGCCACTGATCGGCTGTGTAAGCAGCCGATCAAGTGGCAGTACGGCTTATCGTTAACACAACCTAGGAAAAAATCCACTAATCCCCGATAAGCCAGGATATTATTAATTAATCCCCTTCCCTCTTACGTCATTAATTAAAAGCGTCATAGCCTCAAATAAACTATCAATACAATATAAAAGAAGTTTTAATTGAAACGTAAAAAAAAAATTCTTTTCTTTACTGTAAAAATGGAATCATCGTTTATAAAAGCTACGGATAATTATGCTACATATGAAATTTGTCTAAACGAAGAAAGTTTGAAAAACCTTCAGATGAGAAAATTCAATCATATATAAAAAATTCAGTTCCTGCGAATACACAAAAAAGTACAAATGTGTGGGCAAAACTATTTAAAGAATATGTAAATGATACTCACCCTGATATAAACCTTGATACATTACAAGACAAGATAACAGCTGCAAATCTTCTTTCCAAATTTGTTGTTCAAGCAAGAACTTGGAATAATGCTGAGTATTGTTCTGATTCTTTATATGTGGGTATTTGTGCAATCAATCGGTATTTTCAATCAACATTTAAGTATGAACCTATTAATATCCATAATGATTTCGAATTTAAAAAATTCCGAGAAATTCTTGATGGTCAAATGAAGGAATTAGAGAAATCATCTATATATAAAGGAGCAGATCCTTTGACAGAAGAGGAAATGAAACTTATCTTTAACCATTTACAACTTTCACGTGATAATCCAAAAGGTCTTTTATATTAAGTATTTCTTTGGATTGGTTGTATTATGACAAGACGTGGTGACACTTATCATAAACTAAAATTAAAAGATTTAATACTATGTGATGATGGAGGATATAATTTGTTTACAGTTCATGATAAAACACATCAAGGTGGATACTTTCATCATCAGCATGCTTATGTAAAGCCAAAGATCAAACACAAATTATACCACCTGATAACCTAGGTGAAATTGGTCCAATCACTGACATTAATCTTTATATATCAAAACGACCGATTGATGCTGATGAGAAATTTTTTTTTCATCTACTTATTAATTATTCAGGTATATTATTTTAAATTTTATTTTAAATTTTTATTAAATTTAATTTTATTTATTATTATTATTTTTTTTTTTTTTTTTTTTTTTTTTTTTAAATAGTGATTGGTATTCAAATAAACATTTGGTCATGACAAGTTATCCAAGTTTATGAAAGAGATTTGCTCTTTTATAGGCATTGATTGTACTACTAGAAGAATTGTCAATCATTCTATTCAGAAACATACAGTTCAAAAATTAAATGATGTAGATGTTAATGTTCAAGCTGGAATGAGTATTACTAAGCATCGTACCATTGAGGCATATAATATGTACCAGTCTCAAAATGAGCAACAACAGGTTACAATTGCTAAATTAGTTGTACCACCTGGAACAACAAAGGTATATATATATGTATATGCATATATGTTTATAATATTTATCATGATATTTATTTATATTTTTTTTTTTAAAAAAAAAAAATAGTTCACCGATGATGAAGTCTACAACCAAAATAATGAAGTTTTCGAAATAATTAATAATAAAGTCGATAAAGTTAATGAAAATAATGAAACCAATAAAGTCAATGAAAATAATGAAGCCGATAAGGTTAATGAAAATAATGAAGCCGATAAGATCAATGAAAATAATGAAGCCAATAAAGTTAATGATGAAATTAATGAAAAGAATAATAAAGTTAATGATGAATTCAAAGAAAATAAAGATGCCGACAATAATAATAATAGTGAATTATTACTTAGCCAATCCCGATTGCCATTTACTCCTTTGTCCACCAATGAAGATATTCAAGAATTCTCTTTTAAAGACTTAAATCTTAAAATTTCTAATTGCAGAATTAAAAATTTTAAGATAAACTTTAATCCTAGATTTTTTTTTATTTCTATAATGATGTAAAAAATATTAGTGTTAATATAAAGAAATAAAATGCTTTAAATATTAATTAAATACTTTCCTGATTTGTTATTAATAGTAATTCTCTGGCTATAATTTTTACTAACGGTTGCAAATTACCTTCTGAAAAAAATGGCGTAAGAGGTCACATGCAGGGGATTAGAGAAAATAATTCGAATTTCGTTAGATCTAAATTATTGGAATTTTATTTTTTTTGGTAAATTAATGAATACAAAATCTTATAACAAATAAATATATCATTCGAAAAAAAATAACCATTTTTTCAGAGTAAATAGTAAAATAGTACTGTTTGAAAACATAAATTAGAAAGTGTGTAGAAACTACAGTTTATAAAAGAAAAAATTAGTTAAGTCAATGTTAAGTGCAGTACGGTTGTTCATAAATAGATATAATGGTGCAGAGAATAATTTAGCGCATTGAAAATAACTTAAAAAAATAAGATTTTTACTGACTTTATCTACTAAGTTATTGAAAATACCGTCTACTAGAAACACTTAAATTTTGATGTGATTTAAATTTTTATATTAATGTCCTAGAGTTGGAGATTTGGCTTTTAGTGACAAATGTATAATGTAATCAAAATTGGATGAATCTAAAAAACAGAAAGTTCTATTTGCTTAGTAAGAAATTTTGCATTGCGTAAAATAATTATTTGATTAAGAAAATTGATCAGATCAAATTTAATATGAAGGACTTGCTAATAACATTCATTACTAATCAATTAATTTCATTATACTAAATTAAAACTGATTGATCTATATTACTATGCAACTTCATTACAATATTGTAATTAGTGCTCCGAATCAGGTCAGTTCAATCTGAAAACTGACCCAAAATTTCGGGTCAGGTCGGGTTCGGGTTAGAAAAATCTGATCCAAAAATTTTGGGTCGGGTTCAGATCGGTTTCAGGTTGAACATTAATCCGAACCGAACCCAACCTGACCCGACCCGAAATTATCCAAATTAGAGATGCTCGAAATAAGCATTTATATATTTTTTGGGAGTTCTAATAGCAAGTACAAATGTTTATAATAGCAACTACATAAGTATTCTTAAATAATAGTTTAAATAAAACCACCAATCAGATTTCTTCAAACAAAATTGTCACTGCAGATCCTCGATTTTTATTGGTTAACAGCTGCAAATCACAAAATTTTGGTCCACATTACATAATTTACTAATTTCTGATCGTAATATTGATTTTTTCAGAAATTTTGAAAAATAATTTCGCATTATAGTAAAATTTGTCTGGGAACAACAATAAAATTCTGAGTAATTCTGACTAAATATTTTGCTCATCACTCTTAGCCAATCAAAATCAAGAATCTGCCATGAAATTTTGTAGAGCAAAATCAATCATTTTTTTTTTACAGCTATTCTTATAAATTCTAAAACAACAAATAAAAATTTGATTTGCTGAATTTGATAGGTTTTTGGATTCGATGTTATTGGAATTGGATTTTCAGCATTACAGTAATTCGATAATACTGAATTCAAAAACTTATCGAATTTAGCCAATCAATTTTTATCAATTGTTCCAGAATTTATAAGAACAGCTATAATTCTATAAATTATAGGATAAAAATATAAATTTTTATTTATTCTAGTATGTAATGCACAACTTTTACTATAGTTATAAAGCATATTGAGTTTGGATTTGATTAGCCAACTTCAATAGTCATCATTACATGAATTTTAAGAGCAAAATGGATGACTGAATTCATTTTTTAAAAAATTTAAATATATTAGCCTTAAAATTTTGGGTCGGTTTGGTTCGGGTTTGGGTCAGGTTGGGTCAGGTTCGGGTCAGGTTAAAGCTCTAACCTGAAAATTTTCAACCCGACGGATCTGAAATTTCAGGTCGGGTTCGGGTTGGCTCATAACCCGACCTGAATCGACCCGTTCAGAGCACTAATTGTGATTATTACAACTCACTTGTTGATTAGTTAGCTACTATTTTTTTTTTAATTGTTAATATATTTTATATTTGCTTTATTGACCTCAAAATAGATTTTCTAATTCTCAAATAGCTAGATCTTTTATCAATGACAATTCTAAAAAATCAATTGTGCAAAAATACAAAACATATACAATATGTAACAAGAACAATATTTAAAAAAAATATTTGTTAAAAAAAACAAATTTGATAGTAAAATAATTAAAATAAGAATTATATTTTAAACAATTCTATGATAAGTATCAGTTTTTTTGTGTAAATTTCTTTTGTACAAGATTTTTTTGTAAGTTTCATTAGATTTCAAGACAGAATTAGGCTCTTGAATTGTTTAAAGAAAGTTAGAGATTAGTGTGATATACTGTACAATACTGTATTAGTATACTATTGTTATAGGTAAAACTAACATCCCAAAAAAACTGCGAAATAATTGTCATTGTGGCCTACTTGCCTGACCCCAAGAAAGTCATATAACAATATATAAGCCTCCATGCGGGACTCCACCACCCCCTCCAATTAAAGAAAGGTCAATCTGGACCAACCTGTTCATACTGGAAATGGATGTTAACTCTACCTACCCTACTTGGGTTAGGTGTGAGGCGATGTTAAGAAGGGTGCGATTGTAGACAATATGATGGGTTCTGGCCCTGGGATAGTAAAACTGAAACATTTCTCATCAGTTCTATGAAGAACTTAAAAAATGTTAAAGTAATGAAAGGCTGTATAAAAGGGGTTAAAGGTTAGAACAAAAAAGGTTGGAAAACAATGAGAACAATGAGAAGAGTTGTGGTCTTGTGCATGCTCTTCTCGCAGTCAATTCATTATAAAAAGTGTGAAATTTCCCTTCCCAAAAGATAGTTCAGTACAGTCCAGTTCGAGTGCTATACAGTTTAGAAAAAAAGAGCAGTTCAGAATAGTTCTAGTCAAAGCAGTCACCAAGCCAAAAAGTCCCTATAATAAAATATAAAATTTATTAATAAAGCCTTTTTGAACCACTAATACAATAACGCTGCTTAAAAATCATAGTACTCATCTTGTGACACTCCTTAAAAGATCGCTTCGACCTTGTGCCAAATCATAAAACTGCCTCTATTATCTTTGAGGAATTTTATGTGGCATAATCGTTTTTCAAGCGACAATGTGTCGCATTTGCCTCATCTCAGAACTCGACCATAAAATTCATTACACTATATAGCTACTCAGTAAGACTGTAAATTACACATTTTTTGAAAAACTACCAATAACTCAAAAATTAATCAATGAAACCACCTTCTGTGCACAAACAAAATCTTCATTGTAAATTTTTGGATATTGTTCTGACCCTAAAATAAGGGTTATGATTTTAAAAATATTGTTGTTTTGATTAATATAAATAATTTGATTGGTGCATTTCCCATGTCCTATAGTGAAAAAATAATACAGATTGGACAGTAGATGAAAAATAACAGAAATTTTTTTCATTGCTTCATATACTACATAGCATTAAATGAGTAAAGTTTCTGTTATGTATTGTATATGACCAAAATATTGATGTTATCCAGCAAACTCTTATGATCATAGATTTATTCTTTTTGTTATTTTTTTGTGTTATGTGCTCATTCAAATTAAAAATCAGTTAGCCAATGATGTGACTACTTGAGAATCATGAACATGCATGATCAATATTAAATACTTATCCAGCACTTTATGACCATGTGAATTTTTTCTGGAATATTTTGCACAAATGATTACATAATCTGTGTCAATAAAAGATTGGTTTACAAAAATTCTCGATTCTGATTGGCTAACTGCTATGATCAACAAAATTCTAGCCCGCATTATATATAATTTTGGCCAAAATCGATTCTTTTAATTTTTTAATTGCAAAAAATGAAATTTGTAAGGTTTAGGCCTGTGTGATGGTAAAATTAGCTCTGAAATATTTTTCACTTGATGATTTCATTAATAACAATTGCGGAATGTGGTTAGCACTTATCATTTTTTACATTTCTCCATATAATAACCTTTATTATTTTGAGACTTTTAGGATCCTTCGCTTATCACTTTGGCTTCTGCTGGTATCCTTTTATCTCGTATGAAGTTATTTTGCTTTTTTTTTTTATTGAAATTTATATACAGATCCTTGGGCAACTTGTAAGTATAAATAACAAAAACCTGATTTAAATGAATTTTATAATTTCATATGAGGGAACAAATTTGACATGTAGGAAGTGCACTGCCCTAACCTTAAATTTTCATCTTTACATAGTGGTGTAATTGATTCTAAAAACTGTGATCGAATCTTATAGTTCATATAAAGATGACAACATAATAATTTTTATAATAATGGTCAAGGAGATTTTGATTATCTGTTTTATATTTTTGATCAGTCACATTCACATTTCTATGAAATTGATAAAATTCTTAAAAAAATTGTTAGAATCACCGATACCCACATGAAGCCACATACTTAAAAGATCTTAGGAAAACATGAACGTAACCGATTAAAAATATAAACTAATATCATAGTGATACTTTATATTATTGACTATTAATTTTAAAAAAATAAACAAAACAAAATACATAAAAAGATACCTATATGTATAGGATATTTTATTAGAGTTGTAGGACTCTTTTTTAGAAAGTATTTAATCATCACATTGCATAATCCAATATCCATGTTATTGTGCAATTATGATAATGATTTACAAGTTGTTAGTATAGCAAATATATAATGTATTGTTGATAAAGTATGTATAGTATAAATTAAGATAGTATGTATAGGTCGTAAAAAAATTCTTTAAATGACTTTATTTATTAAAGATAAAGTTTATACTTTATAAGTTTCTCTAACCATACATACATCCGTAAATTTTCTTAGCCTACATCTATACAAATGATAGTATACATTAAGGATATATAGTAAATTAGTGCACAAATTGGGACGGACATGTGGAATCATGATAGTACTGTACGTACGGTTTGTAAAAGAAAAATGTTTCTATAACCTCACATGAAAAAAGAATAATGCTCGCACTTGACCTAACCCTAAACATAAAAAAAGGTTTACTTGTAAATGGTTAGATCGCTTCTTTAATTTGGCATGAGGATGTGACCAATTATTGTGTGACGAGTAAGCATTGACTAAATAATTATATACCAGGAACGGAGTATGAAATACATAGGATATACCAGGAACGGTGTACTATGTACATAGAGTATAGTTTATGAGAGAGTGAAATGATGTGTGCGATTCTTGACATATGATTGGATGATCCATCATTGTGACTTTTGGTAACACCCCAAACTTTACTTTAAAAGGTATGTACTACTCTGTATGCTAAATCTTGTAATGAGTTGATATGCGTGACTTATTCATCATTCGATATTTAATAAGATAATATTTGATACTTGATCAAATGAATTTATCGACCATCACATACAATGAATTCAGTTTCCTATTGTGAAAACTTGCCATTTTTTATTGCAGCTTTTGTGACATGTCTAGTTCATAACTCACTTTTTTCCTGTTTTATCACATCTCTATCTGAATTA